TTAGGTTAACAAGAAACTGGTATCACCTGTCCTCGTCGTCAGCAAACGAACGTTTTCAAATCTTTACGCCTGGAATTCTCAAAAATACATGATACATAGGCTGTCGACTGTCCTGATCATGGTGGCGAGATTCTTTTTTGACTCTCGATTAAAGAAACTCTGTATGATAGAGTTTTTTAGAAATTCGAGGTGAAAATATTGAATGTCTATCTCTACGACTATGTTCATATCTCTTTCTGGAAAAGCGATCGAAAACTGAACAAAAATATGGCTGAATGAGGTGCCAACAGTAGATGCTGTTGAAATTATCCAATTTACTTTTTCGATAAGCATAGGCTTTGATTTTAAAAGTACAAGCAGGCGAAATGCCAGATACAATAAATTTGTTTATATTCAGACTACTCTTGCTTTCATCAGCAAATAAATTTTCTGGTGATAACTGATTGTTACAAATGGTATTTCTTCATTACGTTCGAGTGATGGTCGATTACCATCCTTACGTTCACAATATAACGTTACGTTGTAGGATGTTCATCAATATAATTTAAATTTAAAAATTCGGCGAAAAAAGTTGGTATAGAAATCTATAAATTGTTTTACGTAGATATACAGTACTGGAAAAAATTATAGAGCCACTGTATTTTTGAAATTTTTCGATGAAGCCGAGTGGCTAGATCAAATCTGAATGATGATTTGGATAGCCCTTGAAATTCTCTATCAAATGAAGTATGCGTTAAAATTCCAGAAAAAAGATTTTGAAGAAAGTTTTCTAGAAAACTCCTCCAGCGGAGCTATAAGTCCTAGAAAATTTTGCTAAAAAGATTTTCAATACAGCCACCTAAAAGAGCATAAAATTCTGAAAAAAATGAAGCGTCGCACAGCTCTCCATGGTTTTTCGTTGCAAAGTTACAGGCATCAGAAAATCCAGAGAAATGTGCTTCTACTTGTTTTTTCGTAAATTATGCTATTTCTCTGGATTTTCTGATGCCTGTAACTTTGCAATGAAAAATCATGGAGAGCTGTGCGACGCTTCATTTTTTTCAGAATTTTATGCTCTTTTAGGTGGCTGTATTGAAAATCTTTTTAGCATAATTCTCTAGGACTTATAGCTCCGCTGGAGGAGTTTTCTAGAAAACTTTCTTCAAAATCTTTTTTCTGGAATTTTAACGCATACTTCATTTGATAGAGAATTTCAAGGGCTATCCAAATCATCATTCAGATTTGATCTAGCCACTCGGGTTCATCGAAAAATTTCAAAAATACAGTGGCTCTATAATTTTTTCCAGTGCTGTATAATCCAAAGTGTTCTCTACAAAACTGGATCTGAGTGACATCTTAGAAACCCATTGTTCCAGAGCTATGGACTTTTTCCTGAAGCCTTAGCACTCCTCTGCCGTTAGGCAGACGTAGGTTATCAGCTATGCTAAATCTCGCGGCAATGTTAGTTTTCAGAATAAAATGCAAGAACCGAGTGAAAATCCATACTGGGTGATATAACCTTTTTTTGATAATTTTAATCAAAAATTAAAAAGTTCATAGCTCAGTCAAAATCCATCCAACCTCATTGTACATTTCCAGGACAACATTGTAATACAATTCAACATTGAATTTTCAACAATTCAACATTGTACATCTACAGGACAAATTTGTTATGTTTTTTCCACTTGAACCGTCTTCTTTTGCTATTATTTCCGTAAAAGAGGGGTTATAAACGTGAGAAGTCAGTTCTTTTTGTACTTCTGAATGTGCCCTTGCTCGTGGTCTGTAAAAAATCCGTTAGAACAGATGATGTGGAAAAGACTAAAAAAGTAGCGAAAAAATGCACCTTTTTGGTACTTGTCAATTGGGGGTACCTTCGCTGTACTCAAATTATTTTTCAGCAAATAAATGTAAGACAAGACATAAATATATAGGATGATAGAGAATTTTAGGCGCTATTAGAATATATAATTACTTTTATAAAAAGCAATTTCTATAGTGATGATAAATTTAAAAAGCAAGTTGAAGAAATAGTAACAAAATGCAGTCCGTGGGAATCTAACAATGGGGGGGGCCGTCGTTGCACTCAATTGTTGTTTCAGCAAATAAATGCAAGACAAGATATAAATATACAGAATTGTAGAGAATTCCAAGCGCTATCAGAAGATGGGGTCACTTTTGTAAAAGTACGTTTTCTTAACGAAAATATCTTAAAAATACTGTGTGCAACTATTTTTTTTCACGAGGATATATTCGTTATTTTCATTTGTCTCTTTATCCAATAAACTCTTCTGTCCCCTTTTACATCAAAAATATACTCCATGCCCACATCGGACAAGAAAAACAGCGTGACGTAACTTGGCGCATTCATTATACTGACTACATCACTATGGGAACGTTGTTAGCCTGAAAACTAAATTGCTTTATCTCGGGGGTATAAATCCATTCTATACTTTTTACTAACGCGAGAAAGTACGCAAGTGTCCATTCGGTGTTCGCTTGAAGCATGAATGGTTATAGAAATTCAAATGTAAGGTGAAAAGATTTTGACCTATCTATCTTGTCGAGCATCTGGAGTTACTGTATAAAAAAACTTACACGCCTAAAGATTGAGGTTTGGATGATTTGAAAAACTTTCACATCTCGATTTACTGCAAAACATCGACTCTTCACCTGTTTTTAAAATAAAATTCCATGAAATAATCGCAAACTCAATCTTTAGATGGTGCATGCGACTATCTCCCGAAATTCTGAAATTAATAAAGTATGTTGCAGATTTTCCACCTTGCATGTAGTACAGAAGACTTCGGGCTACAAAACTGGCAGCAACGGCTTTTCTAAATCACTCGTATATTTGGCACTGAAATTCATTTAAGACGTCGTTGCGGAGGTGATGCGCCGTTGCGGACGTGACAGAGTACGAAACAAATCATTGCTATTACATTCTTGTCATTTATGCAAGAATTTTGTACCTGTTTTCTACCTACATTCTATATTCTTATCAGCGTTTCATATGACAAGTCTGTCTTAGAAAAACATTCTTTTCTGAAATGCGTCCAAAAATTGCACCGGGTGTTAGTTAGAAGCCTTTTTCTTGTGAACAAGGGCACCAAGAACCTTGAAAAGGTGGTGGAAGTATAGAGCACAAAATTCTCTATCTATTGATGTTAAATACTTTAGTTTGAACATCGGTTTTGATGAGCACATGCTTAAACAAATCGATTGATATCCGGAAAAAATAAGAATTCGCAGATGGACTATTGAGTAGGTGTTAATCTTTGAAGTTTTGCGCCCACAACAAAGACTAATTTGAAACATGCATTCGACAGTTTTGTACAAAAATGAATTCTATATCGAATGAGCTCAGAACCAGATTTTAAAACGATTGTTAAGCACCTCAAAGGTAGAAAACAAAAGTGCCCCATTATTTCTGCGCCATCCGTTAGAAATGATACATAAGGATCTCCACACGGTAACTAACTACAAGCTTTTCAACTAGGTCTCCAGGAGATCTCTAGAAAACCCTTTTCTGGTATGGTAGTTGAACGTCACCGATTTTGCTGAAAATTTTACAGTGGATATGCACCAGTAATAGAAACATTCTCTGAAATTCTTAAGAGCAAAGCAACTAGTTTCGAGCCGCTATTCGCTAATTGATTTCTAATTAATTAATTTATTCGCTAATTAGCTTTAATTAATTATAGTTTTAAAGAGCAAAGTCTTCTTTATATATTCAAATAATAAACAGTTATCTCCCAAAATAAGAGTAGGGAGAAATTCAAGATGAACAAACTGTAGCCATGTGCACTTTACACTGATTTTGCCCATATGCTTTCTTTTAAGGGGCAAAATGAAACTTTAAAAGGCTGTTGCTGTACTGTCAGCTGACATATCAGAGATGCCGCTCTTATTTATTTTTGTTTTATAAGAACCAGGAAAAAAGAGCCGATGTTTCGAAATTACTGTGTGTTCGCAGTAAGTTTGACGCTTATTTGGCGAGCTGGTGACAGTAAAACGTTTCATCTTTAAACCATGATTTGTACTAAAATCACTTTTTGTTTGTACATAGAGATTTTTTGTATGGCGGCCTGTCCGCAAATAACGCGATGACACATTTTCAGCGTCAGTGTTTATTTTCTCACACTTGTGGACAGGAGTAAAAGCAAATGTTTTACTATTTATTACACCTCGATGGCTTCTACCAATAGTGTAAAAAATTTCAAGTTATTATTTATCATTGAAATATTACAGCGTTTATATGGTCGGTAACGCGATGACCAAAGATGGAAGTACTTTCCAGTGGCAGTTAAAGAGGTCTAATTTTCTCTAAATGTAGAGGATATTGATGAGAGTGTCCAATGGATGGTTTTTAGCTATAACGTAGAGCTTTTGAAATATCAGATCGAAATTTTAATAAAGGGTCTGGTTGTTTATCTACTGATCAAAGTTATGGTAACGCGACGACGTCCTTTCATTGCATCCGATAAGTCTATTTAAGTATACACTGCAAAGAAAACTTACCTGAAGGATGAATTCAGCTCATTTATACTTGTACTTATGGTGTGTGAAACAAACTTGAGTGAGTATGATGTCATCGGTATAAATTTATGGATGACTGCAAATAACACTTTGATGATGCATGGGATACCGTCAGTCAGACAAGCCGATGAGGAAGCTTGATTAGATCATGTTCTCGCAGAAAAGTCCGAGTAAAACATGATGTAGCCTGGTTGTAAAAAAAGAATTTAAATCACTGGAAAACCATGCGTAACTCTCTTGAACCACGCGCTGGATTGTCTGAGATGTGTGTATCTCGAATTAGCCGTTTCATGAAGCAAATCAGCTAATTATTATGCTTATCTTTGATGTTAAGCGCCGTTTCTGCCGTCAACGACGAGCTTGATGAATTTTTTTTCATGAATTAGATGAATGACGTCCAAAACCGCCAGCATCAGAGAGAAAACGTAAAATTATCGAAGAACAGAAATTAAAGGATGCTGCAGATACACAACAAGAGAGTCATGAGTTTGTTGGATAAACAGAAAGAAGAGAATTTTAGAAATAAAGATGCTGATGAGAATGCGAATGAGAAAGACAAGGATGGTAAATTTTTAAAACCAAACCAGCCTGATCCAACCGTACTAAAGGATACAAATATACCAGCGATGAATGAAAAGATGATATTAAACTGGAATTACAAGAAGAATCAAAGATTAGTAGTTATAGTGGTGGTAGTAACGATCAAAGCCAAAAGGTAATAGCCATTTTTAAGAAAAAAATCAAAGTATTGGGTTTGTTTTAAAAGACAGTATCTCAGTAGAAAGTCCAAGTGAAATTCACCATAGCCTGCTCATAGACTATTCTTCTTCTGTTTTTTAGTTTATTCCAACTGTAAAAAACCTATACAATTGGAAATTATTTTCTTTTGATATTTAGACCGATTCATCAACATCACAAAATGATCAAACTGCATTAAAAATAAAAACAGCTATTCTAACATCTAATGACAATTATGAAGTAAAAGTAAAATTAGGCAATTTAAAAACTGTACGTGATTTATGCAACAATGCAAAAAACGATGAACAAGTGACACAAAGTAGTAGTAGTGAGACTAGTTAGTCAACCATCAGCAATGTACAGGATAATAATAGGACATCAGAATTATAAAAAATTGAAGAAAATGATATAAATGTAAGTTCCAGAACCATTTCAACGATGAGATTGTTTTTATGTCTCATTAAATGTTCAAGAAGCATACTGACAAAGCTTAGCATAATAAAGCACTGTTAAGTTTGCCGTGCAAGTCTCATACACCAACCTTGAAGAAACTTAGGCTTTAAGATATCTCCTTTTGTTTTGTTTTCACGTTGTCACATCCATCCAATTCCGTCGCATGTTCTTGCCACTCCTTCATCCATCCTTTCACTCTCTCCTCATCCCCACGTCCTTCAACATACCTGCGTACAATCCAGTAGGTCAGACTGACAATCCTTTGATAATGATACTCTTCACTGTTCTCCTCCATCGTCGTTTCGATAATACCAGTATCTCTTTTCGCCAATTCCTCATCCAACATTTCAAAGAATCGCTCTTGCGTCGTTGAAGTAGATTTCGTAGGTGTAGTAATAGTCCACAAAGTATTTCCCGGATTCCAGTCTGATAGTGGATATATACCAGCTAATTCCCAGTCAAGTACACCGCTTATTGAATTTGTTTCTGTTGACCAGAGAAGATTGCCAAAATGTAGATCTCTGTGAGCGATGACTCCTTCAACGTCGAAACTGCTGTTGCTGCGAGGAATAATGTTTTCCCGAAGTCGAGTGAGGAAAGATCCACGTAAAGTGGTACAGGAATCATGCATTTCGATAACATGGATGTCTCGTTGCAGACGAGCTGACAGATATTCTTTCCATGAATTGAAAGCGGTTGTAAGATTAAGTGTCTCGTACGATTCTGAAGGATAGGAAGAAGACGGCCAGAACTGTCGGATATGCTCACTGGTATAACCTGTTACTTCGACAAAGGGACCTGGATTCTTGCCATCTCCAGTTATTCCTCCGAACCATTTCTTATCACCGAGTTTTGACGTGAGCTGTCGTAGTTCGAGGATGACGTCCACCACTTGTGAGACTAAGAGCTGAGGATCAACAGTCTCCCAAATATCGCACAGCGTCACTCCAGGAAGTTTCTCTAGCACAGTATACTCAAAGCCAATTTCTTCCGTAGAATCACTCCAGAATAATAACTTCGGTACTCTGATCTTCGATGAATTTTTTTGTGTTGCGATGAAGTTCAGCCAACCTACTTCATTTTGTGTTTTTACTCGAGGATGGAGAGGTTTGGAAAGTCGAAGAACGAATTCGGTAGTTGTAAAGCCGTCTGGAATTTCGGGCAGCGCGACGAGATAGATTGAATTAAATTCTGCCGCGAGTGCTGCTTTGGGTGGTGTTGTCACATCGACAGGAATGAGCGACGTGTGGTTCTTGAAGAGGAGGATGATGGCTTGCACGAATGTATTCATTGATCATTTAAAAAACAAAAAAAAGAAAGACAGGATTATATTATTATAATCATTACTACACATGCGTGGGAGGGAAAAGTCTGCAATCGAGCGGCGATCCCGGTGAGAAGAGGATCACGGACAGTCACCTAACTCTCTCCGGAGTTTGAGATGAAATCGAAAGCAAAATCAACAGGTGACTGTATACGTATATGTGAAATTCATCAAGCTCGTCATTTGCACGAAAAACTAGGATGATCTCAGGAAAACAAGCAAATGCTGTTTTTTATAGATACTATTCGATCAATTTGTTGAAGAACACCGAAGTCTTTCACATTTTAAGAATTAGCTAGATTGTTCTCGTCATCATATTTCTGTTTATTATCATCAGGTTAAATGTGAGGCGACGAAGTTTATTGTTAATTTATCTGCCGTCATCCTTACTGTCTTACTTTCATCATGACCATGGTCCTTTTTTGCTAATTGTTTGGATTGTCTGCTGTTGCTAATCGGTATCCTTGACTATTATCTTTTTTATTGTTAGCCATGCAGAGATGTTTTTTAAAATGAAAAAAGGGAATTTTTTTTTATGAAAAGGTCAAGTAAAAAATAAGAAAATAGGCGTGAGATGATGTAATCTTCTTTTTCTCCTTTTGTTTTATCATAGTTGAATGATTTTACTTACAAAAATGAGTAATAATAATAGTAACAACACATGTACTTTTTTCTTTCTTTTCATTCTTCACTCTTACGATACTAGAAGATCATTTTCTCTTCTCCGTCACATAAAAGACTTTCCTTTTATAGTTTGTCAACTAAGAGAAAAGAATCATGGGATAAAATGCA